GATACGTCAATGCGCTGTCAAGGGCCTGTCGGAAGTAAGCCGCCTAGCCTCGCGGAGTCTCCAACCGACCGCAGCCATCATCTATCCGTACCTCGAGGATCAGTACCTAGATGTGCTGAAGATCTGGACCTGGAAAATTAACTTTGGGGGGGGGGGGACCAAGTTTTACCGCGCCGCGTGTAGGGTTGCGTTCTAGGTTAAGATTATTGCCTGAAAATCCAATACGTGGGAGTGGTGGTAATCCTATGACATCCAGCTATGTGACGTTTTGTAATTCGAGAGAAACAAGACGAAGGAAGCCATCCTATGCTTCCACATCTTTAGAGCTTTCCATATCGACCTAATATAGATTCTCTGGCCACCTCCATCGAAGGATCGACCGCATGATTTGACTTGTATCTATCTCAAGTTTTACTTATTCGATATACAGGGTATCTCGTAAAACTACCTTCGAACTCTGCATTTGGGCCGCACTCAATTCTCGGCCCCACCATGCGCCACATCATTCCTTACGTTGCAGGCATGTCGTACATAGCGCCGCACAGATACCCACATGTAGCAACTTGTGCATAGAGCAGTTGTGGCTCGCCACTAATGTCTCTCGTATGTCGTGAGCCATGGTATACTAACTTACCCTGGACGGATACTGGCGTCCATATGGATTTTTAATTTTTTTTTAGTAGAGTAACTGTGTATCTAACATCCATCTCATGTTATTTCATATTATATCTAGCCAGGCATATGTATTTTCATTCGATTGCATGCTATGGATGAATGCATATACGGTAGCCAACTGTTACAAACCTGCTTCACAGGTAGAACTGATTTTGTATCTTCTCACTCTATTTATCGGTCTTAGTCGGATTCCTCTTGTGGGTCGTAGCGTTGGGCGTCGCTTGCTCCCGCTTTGCCCAATGCTCCGGGTTATAGCGATAACTTTTTTAACCGCACTGAATATCGCTAGAGCCATTGATGGTAGCCTTGCTCATCATGCGAGTTATTTGAGTAATTATATCCTTCGTAAAGGTATGAAAATTGCGCACCAACCTAATTAAAGTACCCCCTGATCCCAGCCGATGTAATGCATTCAGCTTTGTTCGGTCACCTCACAATCAGTGCTGAACGCTCGGTGCTAGCTTAATAATTGATATCGGCGATGCATTTGCGACTGTTTATCTATTCGCATGTTGAAGGTGAAGCCGATGACGGGCTCAGGTGCATAACTAACTAAATATACTGGATCTGGAGATATGGCTCCTAACGTGCGTACTGATGTAAACTTAAATGATAGGAAGGGGGGCTACAGTACATGTGGCAAAGAGATACCGAGTGAATGAACAGAAGAGAACACAACTCAGCGAGCATGGGGTCTTTATCTACAAAAGGTCAACAGAACTAAATAGAACTAAATAGCGAGCGAACGACGAGCATGTATTCAGGTAGCACACGGTCACGTGCTACCCTGCAGAATGGTTACTTGTGTAATGGCTCGTAGCCAATCAGTTGCCAATCAATAAGACCCTTTCCTGTGGGGTTAATTTGATTTGCGCTCTCCTGGCCACGACGACGATGGGCGACCCTTCTAGGATTTCTCGGTAAGTGATTAACACGCATGATCTAGTATAACCCAACACTTCTGTACAGCGACGTCAAAGGACTGGTGGCCGATTTTCGAGAGGAGCTCAAGCTTCGGGATCCATGGGACCGTGAGATTGATATTCAGTTTAAGCGGTAGGTGTAGTGATATTGTCGTTCGACTGTGCTAATGTTCAAGACAGCATACAACGGAGGTACAAGGACCTCCTATTTGACTTTCCGTTTGCTCGACAAACCCAGTCGGTTGATCAAGCGCTGTGGACAGATACATCCTATGCTCTCATTACCCGGTACCGAGCTCGCATCGACCCCGTTCGAAACAACGCTGCGGCAAACAAGAACGTAGTGGAGAACCGCAAAATACTACAGAAGTTCCTAGCGTTTCTTGCGGCGGAGGGCACTTTTTGGTCCGGGGTTGCGCTGCGGCTTGTACGGGAACATGGACTTGACGAGGCCAAGCGGGCATTGAACAACCTTGGAATGGATACTGTCGAATTCGAGAATCGCGAGTCATTGGCTCGCCGTGGAGCAGAGGCCGAACAACCCCCTGAAGCGGCTCCGCCCAAATTCCCACCTCCGTCTCCCGAACATCGCTCGAACAAGCTCCTGGCTATTTTTCGCACACTTATTTTCTTGGGAGATCTAGCTCGGTATCGAGAGCAGTATGGGACACACCCTAGCAAGTCGGGCAACGAGAACAATAGTGGGAGGAGGCCTCGAGGGGGAAGGAGGGGGAAGGACAAAGCCAACGACGCACCCCCTGAGAAACGCTACGCCAAGGCTGAGGCGTACTACCTCCAAGCCAGGCTACTCCTGCCTGATTATGGTACGTCATTAGATTTGAATTTCATAGGTTGGCGTCGAATTAATATCCTATCAGGGAATCCATTCAATCAACTTGCAATCGTCTATTCCTACCAACATGATCTATTCGGCGCGGCCTTGAATTACTACCGAGCCCTCTGTGTTCGTCGACCATTTCCAACTGCTAAAGATAACCTGATCCGCACGTTGGCAAAATGTCTCGAAGCTGATCGAGAAATGTGGCGAATTAGGCGAGCAAAAGAGGCTTCGGGAGAAAAGGAAGAGAAAGACGACGAATCCAGTGATCTAGAAACTAAATTCAAGCAGGATGTTGTGCTTCTGCACGCTCTTTGGGCCGGAAAGTGTCGGTGCGTTATATAGTTTTAGCCCCCTATCAGGCCTAGCGTTTACTCTGTGCAATTAGACCGGCAAAACTAGCTCGCCATACTCATAATGTTCTCGCGAGTTTTGCCTCTCTCACAGTTCGTCGCCTCCTCCCCGCCGCAACGCTTGTTCAGGTGCTGGTGCTCGTCCTTGGCGCACTATGGAAAGCCAGAATGTTCCGTGATTCCAAATCCAAGGGCAAGGGCAAGAGCACCGAGGAGTCGTCTCCTGAAACGAGAATTGTGGCACATATTCTGGCTCTGTGCACTGTGTTGCTAGAGATTGGGACGAAGGAGATGGAAGACGCCGGAGGGATAGAAGATGGGAGTGGTGCACTACCAGAGAAGATCACAGGTACATTCCGGAGAACTTTACCCGCTCTTCGGATTGCCAGCAAGTGGATCAAGTCCAATGTCGAATACATCCAGCGCCATAACCCTTCCACCCCCATCTCTCACTCAGCCGAGCACTCGGACTCTGATCCGACTCGCCCGGACCCCGCTTCGTTCTGGCTGGCCTGGGCACGATTCTCAACTCGCCTTTCTACAATGTTTCCACTCGAGTCTCTACCCGAATTGATGGTTACGTTGGAAGAAGATGTCGACATGAGAGGATTTGCGCCGCTCAGAGAGGCATGGCAGAAGGAGCAGCGGGAACTGCAGAGGGTGTAGATGCGGCCAGCGTGCATCCGAACGAGGAGCAGCTGATGAGGATCGGCGATCTGATTGTCGATGCAAAGTTTATTGTAGGCGTGTCGGTAAGTTCAGTTTATCGATTGTCAAGACAGTGGTATCATCTTTTATGTAGGAATGCCCTGTATCGCTCGTCGATGGGGTGTATACTTTCGATACCACAGAAACAGACCAAGGAAGAAGTTTAGATCGTGTGTACCACGAGGAAGAGACGGCCGACATGATGGATTCAGATGATGATGAGGAACCCGAACATCCCGAGGACGACCGAGCAACTGTCAGCACCCGAACCGAAGACGATCCCGTTCGGCTTGCTATGGAAGCAGTGCTGAGTGAACACGAAGATGGAGACGAGGATGACGAGGAAATACTATACCCTCAAAAGACAGGTGGACCACCGTACGCGCCACATACCCCTACGTACTCTCCTACTAATACCCAAAACCATTTAGGGCCACGGTCATCGCTCCTCCACAGAGCACCATTTGGCCCCCACAACCTTCGTTTCATTCTGATCAGTCATCCAAATTCCTACCCGACTCGGCCCCTCAACCTCACAAGCCCAAACAAGCTGGTACAACAGCCCAGGATCTCTTGGATCGAGTCATGAGTGGTGCGACGGGCCCAGGAACACCTTCATTTCATGGACCTGTCCCTAACACTGTTCACGGGCCAACTCCGTCATTTCTACGAACGAGTACCACCCTATCCTCATTCGATCCGACTTTGAACAATGCTTTTGCGTCAATGAGCCCCTTCCCGACTCAGAGCCCATCTTTCGAGAATCAAAGTCCGAGCTTCGGCCAAGCTTCCCCGTTTGATCGAACCCCGAGCTTCATGCGGGACTCAAATTCGACGTTTCCGACCCAACCGTTCTCATCTTCCCAGCTTTCGCCGTTCCCGAGCCAACGATCTCCAAGCTCTCCATTCGCTCCAGGCCCTCCACCCATGCCTGATCGCCGCAAAGTAAGCGACCCAGCGTTCTTTCCTTCGCATACTCGTGTTACATCGCTTTCGGGAGCGCCTTCTATCTGGACACCTGCGCCGCAGGAAGTTATACCTTCCCGAAGCGGATCTATGCGAGCAAACTCGATGTCGGCGGGGATGGGTTCCGCCTCTCCACTGGGCGGTTTACCGGGTGTAAATAGCGTATGGTCACCCCAGGAAGGAGACGGAAGCGGGCCACGATCACCGATCGGGTTTGGGGAGATTGGAAGGAACAGAATATTCAATCCAACGGCGGAGGCCCAACAATGGTGATAGCGTCCGTTGATTTTCTTCCGTCGCTCTTTCTTGAGTCAGCTTTGCTTTCAATTCGGGGTAAACAATGTAGATAATCGAAAATCTTGAATACCAATCAACTGACTCGATGCGCGACGCCTTGGGTACTATAACTGGCAGTGTTGTTAATTCGAGGGTCTGACCCTACCGGCTGGCAACACTCATGAGTGGTGAAGGTTATTGACACGAAATTGACAGAGCCTATTAACACTCTATATTGTTAGTGTCATCATGTGATTGTAAGGCCGCTTGGTCTAGTAGTATGATTCCTGTTTTGGGCTTGCTCTAAGTTACAGGAGGTCGTGGGTTCAATTCCCACAGCGGCCCGTTTTGCTCAAATGTTACCTGGATCCAAGCGCTCAGGAGCCTCACGTGACACTGTTTGGTCCTTTGTTTGCGAAACGACGGACCAATGGCTCCTGAGAGCTTGGAACAGTTTACCTAGGCGATCTGGGGTAACTTGTCCGTCGAATATCTCGGGCTCTGTACTCCATATTTACGAGATCCTTTTTACAGCGTGTATTTAGGCCTACCCTGAACCGATTTGTACTTATCCGATGTACATCCGAGTGGTTTTCAAAAGTGAAAAGTCGTGTGCGAAACGGTAGGAAAAGAGTGGTCTGATCACGTGACACGCGCAACCTCATCCCTCAGCTCGAAGTTTGGGGCCGTGCAGGTCAAATATATCCTTTTCTGATCCAGAAAAGATTAATAAATCATCAATAAGTCCCTAAATTGCATTTTATGGCCTTGTTGAGAGTAATATGAACTGAGAATATAGGATAATATGCCTCCACTCAAGCGACAGTCCTGGTAGCTTCGGCATACACTGTAGCCCTCGGCGCGTGGAAACTCGTGAAAATACATCCTTTTTTTACATCATGAGATATCTATCAACCAAATGTAGCATATATGCCGCTCTAAGCGTATCTATGCACGGTTGACTCACCTTTTTAGGTCTGAAAGCGCTTTGCCAGGATTGATGGCGTTCGGGAATGCAACCAAAAATACGAATGAAGCGGCTAGCCCGTCCGATAGAGCTCGATGAATCACACCTCCAAGTATATAATACTACCTGGCGACTGGTCCGCCAGTATCATAATACCCGCTTCAGCTCAGTTCGTTCCCCTCAGGTCATTATAGCCACACTGTTCCCTTATCAAAATGGATATAATCGACGCTTTCGATCTAGCCGAGCTCTACGACTACCCTCTTGGTGAGATCGAGAATGCCGAGTGGGACCTCGAATCAGAGTTTGGACCAACTCCGCCGCCCGAGGTACAGACCAGGACAGACGAACTAGCCGAATTTGAGAAGGTCAAAAGTGTCATCAAGCATATGAAAGAAGTAGGAATACGGTTGGATTCCTTTATGGCAGGGCTATTCTACAGGAATGCGAAATACACATCAGATATTGAGCACATGCGAGGCGCTAGGAAACAACTCACGCAAAGTCCGCTGTTGCATACAATTTTGAATAGCATTCACACGCCGTCTAGGTATACAGGGGCTATTCCTGCAGGAGCATCCGCTTCGATGAATGAATGGGCGTGGTTACGAGTTGTACGACTAGCGTGGCATGAACTAAATGCCATGGCGGACGATGCTCCAATCAACAAACTCGACGACGATGCAAACGCGTTTCCGGACTTGAATTATATCGAGTTTAGTTCATTGAAGCGTAGGGTTGCGACCCTCATGCCATCTTGGCCGATTTATAATGCTTGTTGGAGAGACCAAAAGCCGCGGCCGTGCTCCAGTGGATAACGCAAGCTCTAGCCTGCCACCAGTCGACCTCTCTTTTTTTAGTTCGATTTTACTTGTTTTATCTACGGAGGCTCATAATGTCGGACGCTGCGGCAGGACCTTTCGTCAACATGTGAGTGATTTCTCCAATCGCCGCATCGCTCCCCTGCATATAATGAACATGCCAGGAAAGATTCCGCTTCCAGTATCCTTGATTAATGCCTTCAAAGTCACTGCTCTACCGTAGAAAAATCAAGACCTGTTTACTCATCGAACGAGTCAAAGTCGCCATCGCAGCGCAGAAGGGGGTGTAGGGGTAAAGAAAGAAACGAAGTGAACCAAGTAAATCATACGTTTCACGGAGCTGATCGCTCCACAGTCATATACAGTAACATTTGTCGGCGACGACATTATTCCGATTTTGCGAGCTGAGCTGAATGAGAATAGGGCGAAGCCTGTTGTACTCCAATAGTTGCTCGGGGAAGGCGATGAAAATGCGGTGTTTTGCTTGTAGTATATCCTTTGGTATACTATCGCTAGCTGATTCCAGGGCTACAGATTCAAGGTCCGCACACCTAATGAACGCCAGGGTACGAGGTGTTCGTGTTTACACAACAGGTAGGTATGTTCCATTCGTCGTCAAAAACCTTCCGCTGCTGTTGCTCACTATATTTCATGGGGCTGACTATCCAAACCAGAGCACGCGGGTCCATAAAGCATGGCATCACGAACGGGAGCGTTTTTCCAGGACCGGTGCCTGCAATACACAGTACATCTCGCCGTTCTCATAGCGCCTGTGCAACGTCTAGCTGCCATTCGTGTGGCGAGTACCCGGTAGCCTGCTTCGTCGCGTCGATCAGTCGACGGCGGAGGTCTATTGCAGCAGTGGTAGTGGGTAGGGGTCGAGGATTGTTCGGCACTAGAGCGAGAGAATCAGCCATTGAATCGCATATAAGGTCCGAAAACCGGTGAATATTACTCTAAGGTGTGCATATAGTCGCTATAATAAGTTATTAAGACGGAGTGAGAGGCAGGAACTTGCACAAAGACCAAGCTCTAACCACCAGAGTCACGAAGAGCCTAGTGCTTAATGCTCGGATGAGCCTCCAACTCGAGCTCGGATGCAAATCTGGCTCAAATCTCGCGCGAAAAAGGGCGTAATTGCAGTACATTTAGCCCGTAAAAACATTACTGTAAGCGTGCGAATCGATAGATTCGAAGTCGCTATACAATATTTACTACTGCTGTGGGTCTTGAATACCAACACCCACGCCGCACTCGCGGCCACAAGTTACCCCAGATCGCCTAGGCAAAAAGTTCCAAGCTCTCGGTGAAGTCTCTGCTTCACTGGCAAACAACGTGCCAAACAGATGACACATCACCGAGAGCTTGGACCCAGGTAACTCAAATGCACCACTACTGTAGCGAGATGAGATGAACGTCGCTTACGTAAAATCGACGGGCGCTTCACATTGCTGGGCGGTGTTTGTATACCTGTCCTGCCGTGTCGGTGAGTGAGAGAGCAGGGGACATAGGTCGGCCGAAATGACAAACACGGCACCTGAGTAGGCTTTTATACTCGGCCTAAAACATGTTGGCATTAGCTACTCACTTACCATCTTTGTGGATAAGTTTTCTGATGGCCATCAACTCCGCACATTTCATTCGGGCCACCAAATAAGCTATCACCTGTCACAGAACTGACCGTTATGGCGGTTTTCATAAGTCCGAGCCAATTGAAAAATAAATGCCGAGACGTTGAAAACACTGTTTCGATGAGATAACCGCAACAAGATGAGCTATCAAAAATGTAAATGAGCCATTCGATCCGCCCAAGCGGGGCGATCATTTCTATGTACATATGTGTTAGATAGCGTCAATTTCAGCGAAAGGCTAAGTCAGGGGGTGGTATCCCCCGAGTGCACAACCAACAAGATAGCTATCAAAACGTGTGGCCTAGAGCCAATATAAAACTATAGTATGAATGCACCTGCGAAGTATCCCATTGATAGGTTTTCCAGAGAGCGATGAAGACCCCTGGAAGTTGCTGGAGCCCCTTGGTTTTGGACCCGTATATGGGATTCATCGCTCTCTGGAACACCTATCAACGGGATACTTTGCAGGTACATTCATACTATAGTTGTCACGAGCCAGGAGGCGTCGTTGACATTTATTCTATTTTCCGGTATTTTCCGTTATATATTTATCTTTAGTTTACACGTCATGTGACACATGGAACATTCCGGTTGATTTGTCAGACGCTGACGCGTCTCCATTTGATATCGCTTTGCCAATTGTAGTTTGCTCACGTGTATTCTCGGCTGTGTCTGAACTAATATATAAACAGGGTCAAGTTCGAAGGGTACGACCCAAGAACTTGACCTCCTGTTGTCGAAGTCTTAGTTCTGCCTGAGCCATTAGTAGTTGAGCGTGACATTAGGTCAAGTTCTTCTACGGTCGCAAGGGTCACCACTACTCTACCACCCCTTGCCACCGAGCAACCTTTTCCAGCCTAAGGCTATCCCCCATATTCCTTCGCACTCGTGGCTTTTGTGCCAAATTTGGTCATTGTCTAAACCGGGAGTTGAGACATTGCTTACGTACTAGCCTACCGTGAAACGGAGATTGGGAGTAGGCACATAATAGTCAAAAGTGCCGGAGCCCTATCCAGTAGCGGGTGTCTATAAGGCGTTCGTGGATTATCGCCCACACATATTGGTCTCAGGACCAACTGCTTCACACCGCGTAGTCAGCGAAGTACCCGCTTGCAGAAAACCCGTATCACATCACGCCCACCCAAGGCAGTAGATTGATTATAGGGGCTGTCCAACGCTAGGTACGGAGCAACGGGCAGTGGTTAAATACGCAGAAACCCAGCATCAAGAGCACCTCTTAAACTAGCCAGTAAGTCCTCCGGCGTGGGGCAATCCTTATATTCACATCACTACTAGTGTCTCTCGTCGACCTAGTAATTCGTCTAGTCATCAACCTATATAGGTTTTTGATTTATTTTAATCTGCTTCATTGGGTCGAAATCGAAACCCAAAATCGAAACCTTCGCCCCGCATCCAATTATACCAAGCCGCCGACGCAGTCCTCACTGACCAACATCGTTATTTTACGAACAACTCATCGAGGTTGAGGAACGGGTCGATCAATCCCTACCAGTCCCCTTTGTCATCGGCCACGTCCGGGACGTATTTTTTGAAACCTTTCATCCGAATTCCGACCCCTGGTCTGCCTCGCTTAGCCTAAGCGACCTTCATTCACCATTACGGACAGGCATTCTTCCAGACATCCCTACGCCCGAAATCCTTCTATATCCCGAGGGCGAGCTCGTAGGAGAATAAATATGGACGCCAACACTAGTGGATGGGGACCCGAGGGCGATTATACATATGCACCCCCGTCTCGTCTGGACTCTAGAACTTCCTTTGTGTCTCATGCAACCCATGTATCCGATGCACATTTGGATGCAGCTTTTATGCATAATTTAGATCCTAATGCCACTATACGTCCTGCAGAAGCCCATACACTCCTAGGACTGTTCCAACGAATGCATACGGAATTTAAAAACACTC